TAAACTCATATTTTATATATATATATATATATATATATATAACAAATAAACATATATAGAGATATTAAAGCCCATTTTAGTAATTATATACTAAAAATAAATTTTGATTACAAGTTTTCAAATATTATTTTAAAACCAATTTTCTAATATTTGTTATCCAAATACAAATCTACAAGAAATTCTCATTTACTTAAAATGAAATCTGTAAATCACATTGATCCAAAATCAACTTTACATACACATATCCAAACACGACTCAATTCCTAGGACAAAACCTATAATAAAAGATCCTACTTTTATGCAGACCTCAAACCATGCAAGAAACTAACAAGAAGAAATCAATATTTTGGGTGAAACCACTAATAATACATTTGCAAGTGTCACTTTCCACATTTCATCACCTTGTCATAGAGCTGCCCTCATAGCCCCTTTGGCAGCCTCACGTCTCATTTCTGCAGCTTTTCCACTGCCTCGAAAGTACATGTACACTTGCTGCAAATATAAATTAAATATCATAGAAGAAAGTAGTAGTTTCAAGAGATAACAAGAAGGTGATTCTAGGAAGATTAAAACCTGAATAACCCAAATGCTCAATAGTGATTCAATGCAAAAAAATCCAAATCCAATGAAGTATAATATCTGTAATTCAACGCAACTATTAGCATAATTTCAATATGTAGCGGAAAATTATACAACTAAAGAAAAATGGTGGCATATTAGAAGCCAAAAAAAGTAACACAATTAGTACTTACCCCAACCACTAGATTGTAGTCCAATACCTCAAATGCAGGCAAAATACCTCTGTCCATAATATAAAATTACACAACACAATCATTAATTCAAGTAAAAAAACCACCACAATGCAAAAAAGAAAAGTATAACAAATATCAATAACAAAACCGATAAAAGTGATATTATAATAAACATGTCTTTAGCTCAACACAACAATATGAAGAAAAAATATGATGAGATAATCATTAAGTCAAGTGTAATAGAGACAAAGTCGTGTCATATAGAGTGCATCAAAAAGATGATTGTTCAATAAAATAGTTTAGGGACAATTTATTTAGTTTGATAATGAATCGCATAAAAATAAACATATCAAGAGGTAATAAATAGAGCAATTTCCACATGTTGTAAAGTATGGGTAACGTATTAATCTTTTGCTCACCTCTAACATACTAAATTAACAAAAGGTAATTAAAGTAGGGTGTGTGAAAAATCTAAATAAATTTTAACTAATTTATAAATGATTTGATTAATGTTAAAAAATTTGATCTATTTAGTGAAAGAAAATACGAACCAATCTATTTTGTAAAATTAGTTCGGTTATCCAATCAATTTTTATAAAATGGATCGATTCGATTTAATTAATTAATTAATTAATTTTTAAAAATTTATATATGAATAAAAAGTGGATAAATGTATTACATCAAACTAATTCAATTTTAAAAAATCTTATCTATATTTTAAAAAAATCAAATCGATTTACTTTATAAAAATTGAATCAATTAATTAATTCACTTTTATAAAATAAATTAACTTGGTTTAATTTGAACTTTTCAAAAATTTAATTTATGAACACCCGTAAATTAAAGAATAGTGTTAAGTATTAATGGAATATAGTGTTTATTATAAAGAAACTCACGTAAGAGATTTTCCTTTAAATATCATCGGAGGAGCAACTGCCGCAAAAACGCAAAAAAGAATGTGCACCTGCTTGGAAAGAATAGGATAATAGATAAAAACACTTAACAAAATTAGTGTAAATGAATGAGTACAAGTAGAAAGTATTTAACATTTACCCCATATGACAAGAAAAACCAACTAAACCTTAGAGCACTATCCGTCCTGTAACACAAAAGTACAAAATATAACATTCTAATTCAAAATGTTATTAAAATCATAGAAAAAAAACCCAAAATCATTCAACTAAAACTATTAATGTTCACAATAATAATATTTCGCAGTGTAAATTTTGCATCCACAAGCCTTTCACAATATTGTCATCTATTAGCTTGCATATTTCCCACAAATTCCCCATATATACATGCAACTACCAAAAAAAACAAAAACTTGGATTTGCATGCCACATAATTTAGAAATATTGAAAACTACCTTGTAGCACGATATAAGGGACGATACCACGTCACATAAGATGCTGGAACTCCAGAAATAAAGTATATGATCGAAAGAAACCAAATAGAAATACCTACAAGGTTAGATAAATTTGTGTAAACAACATGACCCTACTATGTTTAATGGTTCATATCTAGGTGTAAAACAAACCTTCTCCTTTGACCCAAGCAGTAGTAACTGCTGCAATGTTCCATAAAAGACATATAATCAACCCTGCAAATTTTTACAAAGTTTAAAACTAAAATATGGATTGTAATTAAAGAATTTTAAATGCATTTTACTAACATATAAAAAATAGAAATATATGAAACAAAAAGTTATGTAGCATTTAAAAAAAAAAATTATTTAAATTATAATTTTGAGCATATGTGAACATGAATAGAATCTGTAACTTCCTTTTTGTCTAACACTTTAATCAATATTGAAATCATTGATTAAAAAAACTATTAACTAATTATTATCAAAAAAAATAAGTAGTTATGACTAAAATATAACCTATAACAAAAATATTATAGACTTCAACATACCTAACCATGTTGTAAATGCAACATATTGAATTGATTGAAGATGTATTGGTATTTCATTTGCAATATCATGATGAATGATAGGTAAAAATGGTGGCCAATTTTTCTCCTCAATAACTATTCCAGCTGCAAACAAAAAATAGTGTAAACCACCAATCTAAAGACATATTACTCCTTTAAAACTCTAAGTATAAATAAACTTGAAATACCTCGTGCTATAGCATCTTCCTTTCGTTTTAGTTCCTATAAATCATCATAAGATCATGCATTACTTGACTAACACAAAATATCTTACATATGCAATATAGCCAAGTTAACTACTTACAACTTGGTTAAAAGTATGATATTTCTCTTTTTAGGGTAAGAAACAAAAACTCAGGTGAAGTATTATTACTAATGTACAAATAATAATTTGTATGCATCAAGGAAATTACAATAATTCACTTTTACTACCAATTGGTAACATGTTATTTATTAACATAAAACTGATAGAAACACTAATAATTATAAGCTCCTATGTAAAATAACAATAAAAACATTGAATATTTCGATCTAAGTTTCTAACTTAGTAATAAAATGAGTATTAAAGTTATCAAATAAGAGTTAAAGATAATGACCTGTTCCCTTCTTTTCAATTCAGCCTCTCTAGCTTGAAGCTCCTTCTCTTTCGCTTTAAGGTCCTGTAGGGGAAATGTACATAATTAAATATTTGATAAACATTAATACAACATAATTTTGACATTAATTTATTCATATATTTACATAATATGGTCCACCTTTTCGGTATCGAGAGGAATGTCAACCGTTGTTGCCCGATCGTAAGGCTCGGGAGACAAGGGTGAAAGTTTTGATGATGCATGTCCTGGATTCTATTTATAAAATAAAAATAAAAATAAAGGTAATAAATAAATAAGACAATATCATGAATTTGTACATCGACAATTTCATAACTTTATAGCCAATTAAACATTCAACTCCAAACCAACAAGAACATCTTAAGATAGTATTCCAACAAAACTAGGTATACCAACTTGTTCAATCTTTTTCAAAGGAAGATTTGTTCCAAGAACTTGTATTTTTCAAATTCTTAATTTTAAAGATTCTACCTACAAATCCTACATTCAAATAATAACTGATTAGGCAAACTTATAATTATGTCTTTAAACTTCCCTGTTAATAATAATGTCTTACATGAATCTAAAACTACACGAGGGTAGAATTTGATTTTTCCAAACATATTCATGTTATTTTATAGTTTTTATAATAGGCTATGACAAAAGGGTAGAATCTCTTGCTTCAAAAGAGTTCTATTTATCCTTACTTCTTCTATGTTAATTTTGTCTTACATCTTTTGCTACACTAACATTGTGTTGCCATCCATATATACAACTTTTGTTACTAAGGTTAATCTTAGCCAAAAGGTTGGAAAGGTGCATGTTTGCTTGTCTCGGAAAAGTTGCTCCAAATATTATATTAAGAATTATCACTATGTTGATGGTCATGGCGTACCACTTTTACTCCTACAATCTAGACAACTTACTAATAACAATTTAGCATCTTACAAATACAAATTCCTTTAATAATAGACTAAAACAAATTAATTAATGTCAACAAGTCATTACTATAAAAGTAAAACAACCTCCATAAGACAACTAGACTAAATCTTTTGTCTTTTGGAAACATAAAAAGTATACCAAGTATCTAATATTTAAATTATAAAAAAAAAGCTTTTTTGAAGCTATAGATATTGAAACTGGTTAAGAAACTATGAAGTATATATGAGACACCCTTGCTTAATCAAAATACAAATGATACAAATTGAAATTTGAAGCAACTGGTGCTTCCTTTTGTTTGCCAAAATATGATAAAAAAAATGAAGTTATAATTGTACGTTTACATAATAGTAATAATAGTAATGACATGTAAGAAGAAGCCTACGTTAGAATATGATGCACCACCACCACGATTTGATAGCCCGGATGCTTTTCCTTTAGCACCTCCGTCCTAATAGAAAACAAACTTTAGCACCAACTTTTAGATGTTAATATAACGAGGAATGTTATAATAATATTAGTATAATTTTTACTAAGTATTACATCACTTAATAATTCTATATTAAATATGAATTTTGTAAATTTAACTATTAGATTGTAAGTTCTTTACTCTTAGATCATATATACAAAATTTTATATTAGTCCAAGATGATTTGATACTTCATTCTTATAAAACAAAATTGGCGTAATATATTTATTTCAAAATATATTAAAATATGAACATTTTGATTACCTTCAAGTTGTTGTTTAATTTTAACAAAATTTAATATACAAATATAAAGTGATATGAACTTTCAATCCAACGGTTAGTTTTACAAAATTCACATTTAATATAAAGTTATTAAGTGGTGTAATACTTGGTAAAAGTTATACTGGTGTAATTATAACCCCCTCTAATATAATTATCAAAATATATAAAAATATTTTATCATATTAAGGTTTCATGTATGATTAGTTTCCGTATTTCTTCTATATCTATTAGGATTAATCACCACTTTTATCATCATCATTTTGTTTTCTTAATTAACTAAGATTATCATTAGTATAAGTAAAAGTTAGTATTATAGGCTTTAGGTTATCTAGTTTTTATGAAAATATAAATATATATTTTTTCTAATAATAATAATAATAAATAATTGAAACACTTTATGTTTTAAAAATGTCGGTTAGTGATTAAAATAACGCATTTGAACATTAATAAATATTCTTTTAAAAGTGTGTTAAAAGTGTGAACTTCTCTCATGTAGTGATTTGTATTTTCATTTTCGATGACCTTTTTTCTACAAGTGCCCAAAATAATTTAATGACATTAATTTGAATGAAATTTAATCTAATAGAAAAATATTCATAAATTTTGAATTTTGCAATCCATTTTTTTTTATTTTACCAAAAAAAATAACTTTTAAAATATTCAAGATATATTTTTTTTTTTATCTCATATTATATGTCTTATTATTTTTTTTAGTTTGCTTCAATAATACTTGTCACTTGAGTTTAATCTATACACATACACCACATTACTGCGGAGTATTTTCCATGAAGACATTCAATTGTTATTCATTCTCCGATCACGTCATAGCAATGAATAAAATGATATAGTAAAAACAATTAAATTCCATTAGATACACGTGTAAAAAAGCTTTTTTTTTTCTTTTTTTTTTAATTTACTAGCAACACATATAAATTAAATTCAACACTCAAATAGATTCGAATATATATTTTAATTTTTAATAAGAATACTATTTCCATGGTAATTCATGTAATTAATAATTTTCTTCTTAAATATATATTACCTTAGAAAAAAATACTTCATAACACAAAGAGTAAACAAATAAAGAACTAAGAACCAATTAAAATCATTATGTCGGTTAAGGTTGGGGTTTGACTGTTACAAAATAGTACGATTGTGATGGCAATCGCAACAGAGATGTTGCCATGGCATCGCATCCACAATCTAACATTTACTTAATAGAAATAGAGAATAAGTAAATCACGTAATCACTATGTAGCGTCATTTAAGAGAAACATTTGTTTTCAAATTTTTAGTTCACAAGATTTGAAACATGAACAAAGTGTACAATAATGAACAAGGTTCCAAGAATAAATCATATATATCATACATCATTTCGCATCAACGTTAATTACAAATTCACCATTGACACCACAAACACGAATCAAATAGACAAACATGCAAGCAAATATGTATTGCAGTTGCATGCAACATGAAACATGTAATTCAATAGACATGGGAATTTAATGAAGAGGGATAGGAATGAAACTTACGGCGAAGGGATTAACCTCTTCTTCAGCAAAGGGGTTGGTGTCGTAGCTACCCATGCCAAACACAAAGATATAGACAATGAGAAATCAAAATTAAGAGAGAAAGGAAAAATGAAAATGGATACAAGATTTGATGAGGAGGGAATGGCATAAAAAAAATGAGGAAAGATATTTGTTCATAGCTAGGGGAATAAAAATGAGTGGCTTCTCTTTGCTTTGCGATGTTGTTTGTTTTGTTAAGGCTAATGGGGAAAGAAAACTGAAGAGGAATGGAGAGAAACTAATTCTCGTTTTACCAACCAAAGGTGTTAGAAAACACACCAATGGAAGGATGAAAAATATTCATGCATCGTTCTACCTTATAACCAGCGTCCGTTCATATAATTTTTTTTTAATGTTTTATTGTGCAAGTAAATATTTCAAATAATTAAATATGTGAATATGACTAATATAATAATATTTGTTTCCTGGTAATTAAAATAACATAAATATAACAAGAAAGATTACTGACAACAAACTCTCTATACTTTTCTTTCATTTAGTGAAATTTATGTATAAAATAGAAAAAGTATTAAAAAATATATTGTTAATGTTTCTCATATATAATAACATAATATAAGTTATTGTGTTACAACATTTTTTTTTATTGTTAACTCTTCCATGGTCAATAACACTATTTTTTTTGTGTGTTGCAATTGAAAAATGTTAATAATATACTTTTTAAAAACATTTTTAATATATTCTTTATTATTGGTTAAAAATTTTCAAAATTATATAATTTTATGTATCTCACTCTTTATTTAATGAATCTCATTTACAATTTTATAATTTTTAATAATCTTTTACTAATAACAAAAGGTTTATTATAAAAAAAAATGTATTAGAAAATGGGTTAGTGTATTCGCAACTTTGTCGTTAATAGAGAAACAAACTCGAAAGTGCAGTCTATTCTTATTTGAAGGATGAGGCCATTTTGACACTAATTAAATTTAGATTTAAGATGAGATATCTGAATTTAAATTAATTCATGTAATTTTCATAAATATTAAGTTTAACTATTTATCTATTTTAGTATTGCTGAACTTTTTTCCTCAGATTTCCTACATTAGCTTATGACCTAATAATTTTAAAGTAAAAAGATTTTTTTTTACATAATTGTTATATCATCTATTTTATTTTTAGCTGAATATCAATTCATTATGAACATTTATCTTTTCGTCTAATAATACATATCATAAAAATATTTTGAAATTTTAAAAATTAAAATGATAATATTTAATTTTTAATTATGTATCAAAACATGATGACATGATAATGAATTAACATTATATTAAACTTGCATATATTTCTTAATAACTTTTTCATAATGTCTCCTCAATCCATTAAAAGAAATTTTCAGAAAATACTTTCTAAAAAGTATGTTTTTACTCTTCTAGTTTTTAGAAGTATGTTTTATAACTGAAAAGTACATTACGAAATTATATATTTCTTCATCTAAAAAATACTTTATGAAAATATATTTTTATCATTCCAAATTGATAGTTAGTACCGGAGGAAAACAAAAATAATGTTAAAAGAAGGAGGTGAGTGCTGAGAATAAAAATGCTGAGTGAACAATTTATAATAAAAAAAATGGCATTTGAGGAACAAATAAATTAAAAAATATATATAAAGAGTATGACAATTGTATCAATAACATATAATAAAGAAAATATACACATTTTTTTTATAGATGATTTTATCCTTAAACTTTTAAATAATAAAAAATAATATTAAAAATTAATCATTTCTATAAAAATAAGATTTAAATTCAAGATTTTTAGATTTAAAAATCAAATATAACACTAATTAATTTATCAAACATATTTTTAAATATTTTTATTAAATAAGATATAGAAGTAGAAAGTGTCCCGATCTCATTAATAAACGGATGTGTACTTAATAAAAAGCCCGATTCCTTGTCATTATTTCTAGCTTTTTACGAATTGGACGTTCTTTTATGCTTTCCGGTTACGATTTCCATACGTGTCCAAACACGCGCTACAACTAATATACAAATACCGCATCATCTTAGACAGGCGTTTTCTACTTTACTAAGAACAAATATTTATATAAATAACAATGCTTGAATGTGTATAGATACAAGGATTATCAAAATTTCATCAAGGATTAACATGAAATCACCAACTAGGATGCACAATGAAACTATCAACAATATGGAAGCAATCATCAAAGAAATGGGCACATCAACATGGTATGGTTTAATGAAGCATTAAATGATCATATGTATAATTATAAAATATAAACTTGACGAGTGCGAGGAGTGTTGGTAGCTACAATCCTCTGAAGCTGATGGCATGTGAATTTTGGATGGGTTAGTACTTCGAATATGGGGGGCATCTAATTGGGCCCCTCCTTGGGTGACATGCATATCTTAACCAGATGAGATTCTTTGCACACGTAATTCATGTTCAAATAACACCATTTCCATTATTCATTTGATTCATTTTGCTGAGATTCCTTCCTTATCATATTTATTAAGTACAAGACAACCTCTGACATTGCTGGCCTAAATTCTGGCTCCGACTGCATAAGACACATAGAAGGCCAAGAAATCAATTTCATGGCAAAGAGATTATTATTAGTAAGCAAAGTAACCCTCATGAGTGAAAGAAGCTCACCTGAACACATCTAGAAATAATGTCTGCAAAATTTGACAATGATTTAGCAGGGTAGTTTCCATTTAGAGAAGGATCAACCATCTTTGATAACGCATCAATGTCATGAAGTTGAGGAATAGCCCACCTCACCAGAAACTGCTCCCCTCGAGGGCGTTTCCTGTCCAAGATGTTCACAATACATGAATTAAATCCATAAATAAACGGAAATAAATGTTAAATTACTTGTTATCATAATTGTAATTTCGATTAATAAAAAAAAAATACTTGTTTTTGGCTCTCACTTGTCAAAAGACTGACGGCCTGTCAAAAGTTCTAACATAACCACTCCAAAGCTGTAGACATCGCTCTGGTATGTATAAATTCCTGACTCAAACTCTGGAGCTCCATAGCCATAAGCTGTTAGCAGTTGTCCTGAGAGCTGAAAATCCATGGAGTGTTATACAATGCAAATTTCACTGACAATTATTCTAATGAAATTCTATTCGCCATTGATATAATATAGTTACACCATACTTCAGAAGAAACAACCAAATACAAGTTAAAAAATGCATTTCACAGGAAGCATGTTCATGTAGGATGATTTTGAAAATTTCTTTCAATCTTTAGGATAAGTGTTATCAACATTCATACACCTATGCTAATCATTCCAGTTCAGAGTATGCTTCATAATGATGAGGGAGGAAAACCTTAAACATAAGACGAAATTACCACAATCAAATTAGGGAGGTTAGTCCGCACGAAATATGCATTTTCTTGCAGAATTTTTCTAACCAATGACCTTATAATGCCGAAACATATTTCATGCAATACCTAATAATCTCTTACCTGACTTACAGAACCTTTAGTTATTAATGGAGCCAAACCACAATCAGATACACGCACAGAAACATCATCATCAAGGAGAATGTTGGCAATCTTGAAATTTCTGTGTACAACAGGTGGCTGACACTGCTCATGCAAATACCTAGTCAGAGGACAAATTACAGTGTTAGATTTAGAAAGTTCCACATCAAGACATATTATGGAGAACTATGATTATATGAACTTAAACTTCAAAAAGTTCTAGCATAAATACTATAACGATACCAAGTTTCTAGCAAAAAAGTTCCATCATTAAATTAATCCACTGCGAATACTTGAAAACTCTGGCCAGACAAATTAAATTAGAAAATGGAAACATTGAATCCATTAGACACAACAAATCAACAGATAGGGGCAAGCAAATATTTTTCCTTAATGTCAACACTTGATGGTTAATTGACTTACTCTAAGGCTCTAGCTGCCCCAAGTGCTATTCGAATGCGAGTATTCCATGACAGCCTTGTTTTGAATTCATCATCTGAATGGAGTGCATCCTGCAGCGACCCATTACTGCAATACTCATAAATTAGAAGCCTTTGACCATACTCTGCACAGTACCCAAGAAGCTCAACAATATTTGCATGCCGGATTCTGTCAATACTGTTTACCAATTCAAGAAACTCATCATCTGCTTGGTGTTCAGAAACTCTCTTATCTAGTTTCTTCACAGCAAGTATCTAACAATTCAGAGAAAGAGTAAGTGTCAAGATTTTAATCCAGTGACAATATAAATGTAATTTACAAGACTATTTGAGCAAATGAAACAGAAATAGAGAAACTTGAATCAAAATGCAATTCAAACATATCAGTAGTTAAACATGTGATAAAATAAATATCATCTATCCAGATAAAGGAACATTTAAGACTACACAAAAAGATAGAATATTAACATAATCATTTGTAGCTACCTAAAGGTGATAAAAGTTCACAAAACTAGATATAAGCCTTAACAACGAAATTCGCAGGGGATACACACAAAAATCCAGTACATTCCATACACATCAATGCAATTAATAAGAAACAATCCTACCTTTCCATCAGGAAGCTCTGCCCTATACACACTCCCCAGCATGCCTAAACCTATAAGATTGTCTTGAGAAAAGCTATTTGTATACTGTTGAAGGGATGCAATGGTGAAAGTTTTTGCAAAAGTGGGAACTGGACTTTTTTTGGGATGATTGATGTTAGCCTCTCTGTGGAATGGGGTTGGTTCAACAGTCACCCTCTCATTTGAAAGTGGTGGAGGTGGTGGTGGTGGAGAAGGCATTGAATATGCATCTAGAGCACTCATATCTATCTCATGATCTAACAGCTTTGGGATTGTTCCCATTCTTTGTTCGTCATTTTCTTTCTGGACTTGTGGCTTTGAAATAGGCCTCACTCTCCTTGTCTCCTCTTGATGATCCCCTTTCGGCCTCACAACAGCACCTTTAGGTACTATTAAGAGAAAGAAAAAAATGTTTAGAAAGTGCAATGGTTATATCAATGAAATCCTGACAAGGAAATTAAATGTTAGAAACAAAATTAAGAGACCAAAATTTTTATTTATTTGCCTTTCTCAGTTTGATTAGGTGGTTGGACTAAATCCCCATATTCCCTACGATTCTGTGTTTCACCTCCATATACACCAACTTGATGTTGCTTGGAGCTTCTGTCAACCCGTTCTCTTCTGCTACATCTTGGAACAAAGAGAAGAAGACCCAATACTACAATAATAAACACCAATATACTAGAAATAGATATCCAAACCACCCTTTTGGTGTTTTTATTCGATTTCCCAGAATTTGATTCCTTTGCTGAAGTTGGTCCCTTAGTTGGTTTAGTAGGTATACGTCCAGGTGGTGGTGCTATAACTGGAGAATGAGGTGCATGTGTTGGAGCTATAGTAGCATTACCATTAAGATTAAATGGGTTTCCATCATTTCTGTATAAAAAAAATCACCATGAGTTCTTGAGGCGCCAAAGTTACAAATATATAATATATATCACTCACATTTTCTGACATGACAGAAATCAGCTAAGGAACAGAGAATGAAGGAAACTTTGATCAAGGAATAAACACTTCATTTTTCTCAGACAGATACAAATAGCTGCAATAACACTAACATCACCACCTTGGAGTCCTGTTACTGGTCCAGTGCACCAACTACCAATAGTCTAGTGACCACTTTCTTCAGTCAAGCCTACTCGTTACCATTATCTTTATTTTGGCAGGTATCATTGTCTTTTTTCATATCCAATCCAATTTAAATTACAAAGGAAAAACACTTGCACATTTATCAGGCCAATAAATACAAATTTCAAGCACTATTATCATACACAATATTTCCCAACATACATGAGTCCTTTGCCAAAAGTTATATGAAAAGTTTATTTGAGAGCAAAAGCACACAAGAAAAAAAAAATGCATACCTTGTTAAATGTGCACTGACTGTTACACATCTGAAATTATGTCTCTAAACCTTGACTAAGGACTAACTTATATTACAATACATGTGTAGTTTCAAATGCTTGGCTGTATAAAGGGAGCCACAATCTAATTGGCTACTTTTTGCAAAAAATATGAAGAAAGGAAAACTTCATGCCTAAGCTCTTTTTTGTGCTTAATTGCAACACTGAACATTTTGTAATTAACAGGATAACATATATTTTCATAAAAATGTATTCCAATTCACACAAGTTCGTGTCCATCTTCACATTTTTGTAGCTCAGGAATTATCTCATTTAAGTATAAAAAATAATCTTTATTTTTAAGGATTTCACCTGAAGTTTGGGATCATTAACAACTTCGGAGGTATTGGTCCGGCAAACTGGTTGTTCTCAACGTTCCTGTTTAAATAGGGCAGAATAAGCACAAATTTGAAGAGAATTAATGTGGTTGAAAAATTAAAGACATCAAATTCTAAACAAATTTCAATTTTCCAAAAGCTCTACAACCCATATCAACAACAATTCTTTAAACCAACAGGTCATATAAATGATCCCTAGATTTTCACCTGATTTAAAACTTGGTTCCCTTAATTATTTTTCTGAATATTGGTTTCTATAGTTTCCTTCATTTGGATTTTGGTCCTTGCCATTTACAATAAGGTATTTGTCTACTATTTTTCACTTGTTTAGATTTTAATCATTATAAATTTTACTTATTAAGGTATTAGTCCCTATTTTAGGGAGAAATGATATTTAGAGTTTCCCATTATTAAAGCATTGGTCCCTTAGGGACCAGAGTCTAAATTGGTTGAAACTAAAGGAACTAATTATTTATTTTAACCAAATTAATATCATACAAAATTTATATGAAACATGGTCAAGAGAAGTACAAATCTTGCAGTGGAAGGTCTTGTAAGACATTGAGGATCCCAGACAAATTATTGTTCTGTAAATGTCTGCCAATGAGAAAAAAGTTAGATTAAATGACAAAGCAGAGAAATAAGTTCAAAAAATATCATCTAATCAAGACTAAATACTCACACGCTGGTCAGAGCTGACAAATTCTCCATAGATGGAGGCAATTCCCCACTCAAATTGTTATTAGATAAATCTCTGCACAGCAGTTTGTGGTTCACCAAATAAGTTTTACATGTAATGAAGCTAATATAATTTCCATTCAATTTAATGTATACATAGCTGAAGAATCATTTGAAATTATTCCCTACAGATTGATCAATTGCGTGAGAGACTCAAATGCATCTGGTATTTCTCCTGTTAAAAGATTGTTGTTAAGTGACCTGAAAGGATAATACAATCTCAGTTAGATAAACTTGCATAACAGTTAAAATCAGCCATCATTAGAATTTGATATAAATACAAAAGAAGCAATAAACTCACATGTCAGTCAGTTCAGTCAATGTGGATAAAGAGGCTGGAATACTTCCAGTGAACTGGTTATCTGAAAGAAAGCTGCAAAAGCCCAAACCATTATGTTATTTTGCATAATGTGTTCGAAGAGATAGTATCACAAAGGTAAGTACCACATACAGGTGTTGTAAAGTGACTGGCAAACTGGATGGAATACTTCCCCCAATGTGATTGTTGTTTAGAACTCTGCCCCAGAAACATGTAAGAAACAGTAAAGATTATGCAGGAGAAACATTCAAAAGAATGACCACTGAAGTTCATGAACTTTGGAAATGCATTATAAATACATCCCACATTGACTTGCTCATGTCATGCACATGCCTGGGGACACACAGAAAGATGCAGAGAAAGCAAGCCAGCAAGAGTGGAGCAGAGAGAGAGAAAAAGAAGAGGCTATTTACATTGCTCTGATAGAAACAAAACCTCCCAAGCTATCACCTAGTTCTCCTCCCAAGTTTGCACCATTCAGAACTCTGTCATAAATTAAACAACAAAGAGCTAATGGTTATTTATTCTCTGTGAGATTCAATCAAAGTGAGGAAGAAGCAAGAGAAAAGTGATTACATACATTTCTTGTATGACTGAACCATTACATTGAACACCTTGCCACCCTTGTCCACAGGGGTCTCCCGCACTAGAAACCCACCCAGGAAGAATAGGGTTGCCCAATGCAGTATATAAGCCATTAATTGCAGCAACTGCTCCAATTATAAAATTTTAGAACTCTAATAACAAACCACAGATAGATGAAAACAATCAAGAATGTGTACAACAGTAAACATCACTTTCCACTCCATACCACTGCCACACAATTCAGTAGCCCATTACACATTGGCCAAGAGGAAAGACAATTCAAAAAAGTAGCTATATAATAATGATTTCAATGAGAAATGTTTGAGCACATTACATAAAAAGAGACACGGGAACACAATTATCATTTATCAACCCAAAGCATCACTGTAGAGGAAAATAGGTAAGACTAAAAAGGGACAGAATCATTACCATCAGATGGATCAGTGGCTGCAAGTGAAAACTGGACTATGCAGATCAACATAAATCCCAATAGAACTTGTCCATGGATCTTCACTCTCTTGTACAGTGAACCGGATCTCTCCTCACCCATTTTGCCAAACTCAACGTTAATCTTCGCCTTACCCTTTCCCTTTAAACCAATCACCAAACCATCCCGTCCTGAAAATTCAATCCCCCCAAAGAAAACCAAAACAAACCCATTATTCCACAAACACAAAAAATGCATAAAAAGAAAAAGTTTAGTTGAGTAGGATGAAATCTGAGAAAAGAATTGAACTTACTTAAGAGAGAAACTGAAGAAGGTCGAGAAGTAATGCCGAAAATCTCGAGATAATACAAAAACAAAAAATGAAGGTTTGTAGAGTCTGCAAATAAACTTAACGGCTAAGATTCGGAGCTTATTTAGTAGTTTGAGTGGTGAACGGAAGCACAGACTGCATTACTAAGCTTTTGGCATATATAATATAATAATTATCATCATATAATTATAATAATGATGAAAGTGATTAAAAATTGTGGAAAAAACCCTAGGCGTTTGAAAAAGCTGAAAACAAGAGAAAAGGCAAAGGGACGAGAAAAAGTTCTGCTCTGAAACAAACAGAGACACAAACACACACACACACACACACTCTACAAACTAGAGAAGTGAAATGAGGGTGTGATGTGTAATGTGTTGTTTGGAGTGTGTGTGGTGTTGGAAGGGTGAAATTACCGTTGTTGCTACGCTCCCTCGTCGACGCGTACGGTTTGTTTGTTTCAGTACCATGCGATGCTGCCCATGTTTGATGTGTTATAATAATGGAGTGCTCGTGTCCCTTTGTCGCTCTGTTACAACCGGTCAATTATTATTTGTCAAATTAGAATATGTTCTCGCATAAAGAACAAGTACATATTGGATTAGTAGTGACAAGGACGAGTGATGTATTTGTTAGTATGTAACGTATCGTATGTCATGCGATTACATGCTGTAGCTGTACTACTCATTAAATTCAAAAACAAAAATTATAGCTTATTGCTCTATCTTTTTCACCATTTATTTGTTACTATGTAAATTTTATTTGAGATAATAACTCTAAAGTTCTTAATGAAACTGTGCATTATTGTTTTTTTAAATAATTTTAATGGGGTATTTTATCTTACTTTTTTATTTATAAAAACTTAAACTCAATACCAGTTCCACTAGACATTCACTTACAAAAACTCTGAATAGTTAGGTGTGTTTCTTTATTGTATAACCAAGACTTAACAGTGTGTTAAACATATCTTTTTTTAATAAATTTTTTTATTAAGATGATAAAATTGTCTAATATTTATTTTTAAATAAATTAAGTGTATTAAATATTTCTCAACAAATATTGTTGAAATATTTGTTAACCAAGATGCTTACTCTTGTTAATTACTAACATTATTGATTAATTTATCTGTCATTATGCGGTGACGGAGTGCTCACTTTAATATAGTGATGGAGACCGGGGTCTGGCAATAGCATTTTTGTACTAGTGTAACTTTTCTGCATTATCAATATATATATATATTATTGATTAATTTTATATAAATATATATAACATAAATAGTTATTGTAAAAATAAATAATAATGTTTGTACTTCTTTTTTTAATTTCTTCTTTTTGTTTATATTGGCGATTAATTCGTTGACTAATAATTTATCTTCAATATATTTTTCATTAATTTTCCTATTTACTAAATGTAAAAATATTAAATATTCATTATATTTTTAAGGTATTAAGTATATTTATTTCTATATTTAATATTTATTTATGAAGTATTACATAGAAAGATTTGACGGAAATAATTAAGAAGACTATAACATTAATTATTCTTTCCAAATATTTTAACTTTCTTACAATATGAGATATACTGATATTTATATTTCCTCATATTTACATTTAAAAATATTTTTAAATTTAATGTACATATGTTAAAAAGGACTACCTAGGGTGAACTTGATGAGGATGGTGTTCTCATTTCATATCTCTATACGTTGAAACGTTAAATATAAGCTTTTATATATAAATATTTATAGTATAAAAATAGATACATAATTTAATTAATATTTAATATAATATTAATCTATCAAATTTTTTAAAAAAATTAATTAATATTTTAATAAAACTTTGATTCTTGAATTCAATTTTTTTGACGAGGACATGCATAGACAAATTTAGAGAATATATATATATATATATAATTTTATTATATTACAATTTTATTTATTTAATATTATTAGATATTTTGTTTTTCCAATGTAAAACTATTATTTATGGAAACGGATAGAGACCGATTTGTAATGGATAAAAAATATTTTTAATCATAGTAAACTAT